ACTTGTAGACCCTAGTTCTCTTTCTCGGGTTCTGTGTGTTGGTTCTGTGAGGTGGACTGGGCGATGCCAGGACTTGAGATTAAGAGTGAGTCTGGGCCACATTGCTGTGGCCAGTGTCCTGACTGCTCAGCGGCTCTTGAGACCACTCCACACTTCGCCCTGAGAAAGCTTTTATTGCCAACTCCTGAAACATTTTAAAGACAGTATTTTTAACATATAGAAGTAGGAAATATTAATGCCCAGAATTGCAGTGCTAGAAAAGAAAAATAGTAGTATGTGTATGCTAAGAAAAGTTAGGAAACCCCAAATGGTAGGAAATGAAGTCACTCTGCCTGCCCCCTTTAGGGTGGTTCCTTTTATGTCTTTTAGACAAGTTATTGGATACATTTTGAAATAATGTAGGCAGTACTTTGGTCCCAGGACACTTTTATTATTATATTTTTTCGTTTATCTTCTGATAGTAAAATAAGGCAAAAGATTTTATAAAGCTTACTTGGTAATCTGAGTTTTGGAAATATTCTAGCACTTGTTTTAGAAGGAGCTGGGTCCCCTGTCTGACACAGTTGTTATGCATAACCTCAGGCAGAATGCAGAGTGGACCCTCGTTAAATACTTGTTTTGATAAACTTCTGTTTCACAAATTAGCACTTATACCCTAATTTTTTTCAGTTTTTGGTGCCAATAATAAAAGTTATCTGGTTTATTAATTATACGAGATTGATTCATTAAATTCTGCTGTTAATATATTTTATCTTAAGTTTAAAAAGTAAATTAGAAGGATAAAAGACTTGGGAAAGGCTATATAAGTAAAATTCACGATTGATGTTAATTAGAAGAGTTAAGCTTCATTTCTTTTATCTCATCTTCTAATTGGTTGGTTTAAGGAGAGAGATCCATTCCTCTTACCTCCCCCCATCCCTGCCCTGTACCAGAGATCCAACTCAGGACCGTGTGTGTTCAAGGCAGGTGCGGTGCCACGGAGCTAAATCCCCGGCTCCACTCATCTTGTCTTTGACAGAGTGTTTCTGTTGTGTCATGACTGTAATGAGATCATGATTCACGCATGGATCTTTTCTTTGTTAAAAAAGTTAAATTGAAGGTTCTTTTGTTTTCATTTTTAATATATATATGGGATTTCCCTTGTCAGTTTATTTTAATCGTGGTTTCTTTAAATCACTTTTTTCCAGGGTCTTTTACCCTAAAAGTGACTCAGTCTACTTAAAGTTTTATTTCAGTAAAGCATATTAGGATGGCCAGCAAGGAGAGCATTATGGAGTTAGTTGTCAAAATAAAACTAAACGGGCCGGGGATTTAGCTCAGTGGTTCCGCCGCCTGCCTCGCAAGCACAAGGACCCAAGTTTGATCCCTGGTACCAAAAAAAAAAAAAAAAAACTAAACAAGTAATAAAACTATTAAAATACAGTTCCTTCTATAATTTAAATTTTGAAGGTCCAAATGAAAACTTGAGCCTCTAATGGGTCACTCTGAGGAAGAAGTTATTAATAGAATGTTTTTAATGTGTTTTGTCTTTGTTTGCCTTTTTTTGTTGAGAAAATGTCCACCAGTGTATTTCACAAGTAATTACACGGGTCAAGTCTTACATGTTTGCTATTAAATCCAGTGCTTTGAGTAATAATACCTGTTTTTCTTGGTGAATAAAAGCTTTTTAGGTTCTGTGCTATTTGTAGTTTATTTTCATCATCATTACTGAGCTTTGTGAATTTATTTACTTGTGGGTGAGGTACCCTGGTTCTTTTTACCAAGGAGCACTTGTCTCCAGGCATCTTTTCAGATAGCCAGTTCCCGGAACCAGAGGAAGGCTTGCCCGCCGTGCCATGTGACAGGCTGAATGCTGATCAGCCAGGACAAAGGCAGATGAAGGAGAGGGAGATAACAGACTGAGGCATTCCACTCGGGTGGCATGAGACCAGCTAAATTTAACGGGATTCCTCCAGGCCAGAGAATTGGGAGTTATTTTCAGCTGCACTATGGTAAACTTCATTAGAAGTGTGTGTGGCCATTAGTGACATATTTTGGCACCTTTTCATCGCATCTGAGTCTCTCTGAGCAGCGTGTGTTTGGGATTGTTGTACATGCCCACGGTCCCTCTTCAGTTATGAGTGGAATTTGCCATTCCCATCAGAGGTACCTACGTATGTCTTCCTAGGTCTGTAAGTGTATAGCTTAGGGTCTGCTAGTAGATTAGTATTTTCTTCTCTAGCCACTGACTAACAATGTATCTTACGTGTTTTTAGGTAGAATACTAAATGAAGATTTCTCTCCTCTCCCTGAGTTTGGCAGCTACTGTTACGTATTTACTTATAAAAAGTGTCTTTGTTTCACCTTTATAGATGTTGAAATATTTTATGGCATTCTTTCTGTTCCTTACTCAGGTTAGCTGGCAGTTATAAGCCTTTATAATTACCCTTTACACTTCATGTTCATGTCTAGTAAAAGTTTCATTATTCATAGGCTATAAATATGTCATATAGTCATAAGTTTAAATTATCACGTTCTCCGTGATTACTTAAAATGGCTGAGCCAAGTAGCAACATGGTTGAGTGCTTGAAATTCTGTATGGACAGCATGACAGCAGTACTTTTATATTTTATCAGTGTATGTATTTTTTTTTTTTTTTTTTGGTACCGGGAATTGAACTCGGGAACTTGCGCTTGCGTGGGAGACGCCGGAACCACTGAGCTAAATCCCCGGCCCTAGCGTATATATTTTAATGTTTTTATCAAATAGTGCCTAGGTTTTCTGGGATTTGGTAAAAATGCATATTTTACTACTGACCTATCACACCATTCAGTGGTGTGGGCCTCGTGGCCAAGACGGGCCTCCAGTGCGCTGACCTCTGCTCGTCTGCATAGCCATAGCTCGCACCCCGCCCATTTCCACTCCAGGCTTGCTCATCGCCCTGCATGCTTCAGTGTCGGGATCGTTTTGCTGAGTGTAATCTCTGAGTTTCATCCACATGGTGTAGTGTAATAACAGGTCATTTTACCGGCGTGCAGTGTTGCACTGTACACATTTACCACAACTTTCATCCTTTGTTGACACATGTCTGGGTTGTTTCAGAGAGACGGCAGATTCTTTCCGCTGCTGGAATTGTCAAATGCAATGTATGAAAACATTTACCTGGAATAACGTTTAGAAAAACCAAGTAAAATACATCCATTGTATAACTCGCAGTCATGGAGTTCAGCCTTTGGACACCATAGCTCGAGTTTTGAGCAATGCTCATGGTCCTGTAGCACACAGGCCCGTCGGGGATGGTTTACACCGGTCCAGAAGCCGCTCTGCATCTCGAGTCGTCCTTAACCTCCTCAAGCAGCCTCTGATCTGACTCCTGCTGCACGCAGTTTGCAGTACTGCAAAGTGATAAATAGAAGAAGCCCTGAGAATGGCTTCTGCACTTAGCACGATGCTTTTTGAGGGTCACGGTGTGATTGTGTGTAGCTGCTGTTTTTGTTTGAGTTGCAGATGTAGCACAATTAGCTTATCCATTTATTAGTTAATGAATATATAAGTTATGTGCCATTTTGGATAATTTTGAGTGAACATTTGCCTATAGTCTTTGTGGATAGGTTTTCATCTTTTTTTTTTTTGGTACCTGGGATCGAACTCGGGTCCTTGCGCTTGCGAAGCAGGTGGCGAAACCACTGAGCTAAATCCCTGGCCGCAGGTTTTCATCTTTTAAAGAATAAATATGAAAATTCCATTCCCCATTTCATTACCGTTGCTCTTTTGATGAAAATAGTTGACCATGACGTGTCAGTATGTTTGTGGCTTCTTTCTTTGTTACATTGGTGTGTGTTTGTGTTAATACACACTCTTAGACACCACAGAATAATGAGCAACAAGGGACTAAACAAAAGAAAGCTGCGCGGTTGTGAAAGCAGCCAAATCATATATTAAAGAACAAACGTGGCCATGTTCCAGTAAAACTTTATTTAGTATACTGAGTTTTTCATTTAGTGTAATTTTCACATATCACAAAATATTTTCTTTTGTTTTCATTATTTGAAAATATAAAATCAAATTTTAATTTCCAGGCCTTGGAGTCATAAGTTTCAGACAGTGAACTTCTCTCCGGGAGGCTGAGGCAGGAAGGTTTCAAGTTCAAGGCCAGCCTGGGCAACGTAGTGATCTAGGGAGACCTGGTCTCAAAGCGAAGAATAAAACAACTCTGGGGCCGTAGGTAGCGTGGTATGAAAACTGAAGAAACCAGGATATCAGTCCTCCTGCTTTGGGGTCATCCCTCTGACTTCTCAGCTTGGCCTTATCTGCGTATCTCAGTCCGCCTGTTTCCAAGCAAGGGCACTTTCTGATGTGCGCCAGGTTGCCACTTCAACCTTCAAACTTGCCTTTTGGGGGAGATAAAATTAAACCCATGACACCAATATGGAAAAAAATTTGCTGTTGTTTCATTGGTAGAAATCTGAGCATCGACTGCCATGTTGGCTTTTATTGTTGTTGACGTATTTTAAACATCTGGAGTTTTTCTTAAATTCTCAGTATTTTTTCTGAACTGTATAATTCACAGTGGAGACTAGTGACCGTCCAGATTATCTGCATAGCGGCCGTCTTTCCTGGCTGTTCGCTGCCTGTGACTGCAGCGAGGGTGCCCACGTGGCCCTGGGAGGTGTCGCCGTGGAGCCACAGCACCTTCGGGTCGTGTTCCTTCCCGAGGCAGTGTTGTCTCTCAGTTTGAGAAGTCACTTCCACCCGGCAGTGAGACCTTAGGTGTGGTCTGACCATCAGCCACGTTAAAGGTCTCGTTGCCCTCCCATCCTCGTCACACTTACACATTGCTGTGGAACCTGCGCGATGTTCTGTATTACATTCTGTTCCCAAATGTGATTCCAGTCAGTCAGAAGTCGAAGCAGGCGCGCTCTCTCCAGTGGGGGTGACCGACCGGGGAGGTGCTGGGTGGCCCCTGCCTGCTCACTGCGCAGGCCCCTCCATGTGCTAACTGAGTCCCTGTGTCTGTGCAGGCTCTGACGGCGTCGTCTCGGCAGAGCTACTCGCCATCCGGCTTTCAGGATTTCAGCAGGTGGGAATCGATGCTGAAGATAAAAGAGGGACTTCTGAGGCAGAAGGAGATCGTCACTGATCGGTGAGTCGGTTTTCGTCTGCTCCGTATTTCCGACCTGTGGAGCCGGAGTTGAATGACAGTCGCGTTGCTCGGCACACTGGCGCTGCCTGTGGGGTTGGGCCCGCCCACCTGCCCAGGGCTCTCGGGAGCCATCAGGCGAGGGTGGTCTGCTGGTGGCTCCAGTCCCTGGGCCTTGCTGCATTGCACAAGCGCCCCGTCGGGCAGCCCCGTCGGGCAGCCCCGTCCAGGCTGCGCTGCGCCTCACAGCACCCCTGCGCCTCCGCCGGGCTTCTGCCCTTCCCGACAGGTAGGCGCCCGTGTGGTCTGAGGCCTCGAAAGCGGCACGCGTGGAAGTAAGTGCCAGGTAGGAACTGTAAGATTTTGACATCCCCAGATCTGTGTAGACTGCAGAGGAGGAGAAGGGCTCATCTGAGAGTCAGGCGGGCTGCTGGGCAGCGCTCTGTCAGACGCCGGCCTGTGGCTGTGGCCGTCTGTCCCTTGGGGCCCAGGTGAGGAGACAGAGCTCGCAGACCTGGCCCCACGAGGCAGGAAGCAGGACGGAGTAGAGGCTGGGGCCAGGGCCGGGTGTCCTTGGGGGTTTCCTGGCCGAGACAGGCCCTGCTCGAGTGGGGAGAGGCCCCAGCTCCCAGGAGCCGGCTTTGCTAGGCACCCGGCCTCGGGGCGCTCAGCACGGCCCCTTCCCACCGCGTGCTAGGTCACAAGTCAGGTGACCATGCCTCTGGGGCACCCGTGTTGGTGAGTCGGGCGGGACAGTAGTGCTGGGCTTGTTCCATTTATCTTTGGAGACAGAGCCTGGCCCTGTAGTGCAGGCTGGCCTCAGACTCCTCGTGGTCCTCCTGCTTTGCCGCCTGAGTGCTGAGATCACCGGTGTGCGCCTCCACACCTGGCCTCTTGTGGACATTTCTGTAAGCAGTCTGTCACACCCGGTATTCTAAGCCATCTCGGGATTTTCTTTGCAAGTTTATTATAACATTTTAAAATATTTTACATAACAGTGGAAGAGAAACCAGCCTTTGCTTCTAAAGGAACATAACCAGCATTTAAGCTTAAAATTGTACAAAAAGCCTTATAACATATGGAGTGCTTAAAATTAGAACCAAATATTGAACTTTCTCCCAAGAAAGTGGACTCTCAGCTTTAAAGTCGGTGACCCATGCAGACACTGTTTCTGACATGGCACCAGGTCCGGTGTCCAGTTAGGTGGAACCTGGAGTGAGGGGCCACAGTGTGGCTGATGATGCTTTGCAGGTCACTTTACTGAAACTTACTCGCTGGATTTTATTTTTGAAAATGCCAGTATACCCAACATTGTTTTTCCATCCTGTATGTGTCTTTTGTAGTAGATGACTGCATTGTCAAAACACAGCAAACGCTTAGGAAAAGTAATTGCAGTGGAAACTAGGTTCCTAAGTGGGCCCTGTCTCTTGAGAAAAATGCATAGATTAGCCAGCTTCCACATCAGCGCAGAAATCCAGGAGACTTGGGACTTTCTCCTCTTCCATTTGCCATGGTGGCCTTGTCGGGGATTCTGAGGGCGTTCTCGGCCTCTTGCACTTTGATTTACTGCACTCAGTTTGCCACTGAAACAAACGGGAGGTTTTGAAGTTTCCTGTTCTAGGCAACCTCCCTTCTCCATTCAGCTTTGTACCATGAAGATTAAAGGAATGACAGCATGTGAAAAGATCCTAATGTACTCCCTGATGCAAGATAGCCATCCACAAAATGGTAGTTGCAGGAACACGCTTTTTGCCTATGTACTGAGGTCTACATGCTGATCTCTGTTTGATGGATTCTGAGCTCCCTCGATTCTAGAAGAGGACTTTCCTCACATTTTGTAACTCATAATAGTTACTCACCAAATCTTCGTTCTGAGAAAGCAGCTTCACTGTAATGGAAGAGAGGTCGGTTCCTGGCTAACCCGCGCTGTTGCTTAGGCAGAGGTCTGCTGGTGGCTCGCCCTTTGTCAGGCGAGGCCGTAGCTCGTGGGGAGAGCACTTGCTCAGCACGTGCAGGACTCGGCTGATCCCCAGAAGTACGCGGGAAAGTCCTTTTCAGTAGCTGGCCCTTTGGAATTGTGTGTTCCGCTGAGTCGATCAGCTAAGAGTAAATCAGGGCCCTTGAGACTGAGTCCCAGGGAGACTGCTGAGCCAGTGCTGCTGGTGACACCGGCAGAGGGGAGCGTGCCCGTCGTGGCAGGGCTGATGTTGGCCGCATGCTGGCTTCTCATTTGGCTGTACATGCAAATAAAGCACATATTAACTGTGGTAGGAAGGCCTTTCAAATCGACAAATTCTTTGCTATAGCGTAGATACTGTTTAAACTAAATGGTGAATGACCTTCCAAGTTCTCTCTTTATGTAGGATTTAGGGCCCAGTTAGAAGGCCTGCAGCACATGTCAGGTTCTCAGTGCCTCACACCGCGTTTCATCAGCTGTGACCCGTGAGCTTGTGCCCGGGACAGACACTTGGCAGCGCCTGTGTTCTACTTTGATGGACACATAGTGAAGGAGTCGCATGTATCCTCTGTTCTAAGTGTTGAATGGGACTTGGTCATTTTATCAGAAAAGCTGAGCATTTAAATGCTGTTTTGACAGTTTGCTTATCAGTGATTTTGATTGTTGACATCCAGGCACGTGGCCGTAGGGAATCCTCTGGAGAATGGACGTCCGAGGGTCTTCTCTCCCTGTCCGCGCTCCGCAGCACACTGGGTTTCCGTTCCACCACTGAACACCAGAGTTAGCGCTGGACTTCACGGCCCACTGCAGAGGCCAGGCGCAGGTGGGGTGCCGGCTGGCTGGGCCTGCTCCCAAACGAGGTGCCGAGGCTAGCCAGAGGCACGGAGACCCGGTACTGACCCAGAGGAACAGGACATACATATCCCTCATGGGTCCTTTATCATTGCCTGTAGCTGAAATCTGCAGATGATGAATTCTTTCAGATTTTAGCTTTTTCTCAAAAAAAAGATCTTTTTTTTAAACCTCACCTATTTTTTTGTTGTTTTGTTTCTGTTAGTTAACACTAGGTTACTAGGCTTTAATTTGGTTTTTAATATTTCCTTAGATTAAAAGGTCTAGATTGAAAGCTTTAAAAAATTTTTGTGCTTTAAATTACTTCACTGTTTTCTCAATTGCCTTATTTCAGATGAGAAATCTGGAGTCCTCCTGCCTTTGTCTCCCTCAAATCTTTTTTCCTCTAGCTGCTCTTAGGATTTTAGATTTTGTCACTCACTCTGAGCTGATTAGTAGGTACCTTGGCTTAGTGTGTCTCATGTTTCTTGGGCTTGCTGTTAGCTAGACTTCCTGAACCTGTGGCTGTGTGTAGTGCTTGTCGAACTTGGGGAATTCTAGACCATCTTCTGCAGCTTTCGTTTTGGGGGCCACCTCCCTTCTTACTTTTCCTTTGGAGATTTCAGTTATGCAGGTGTTTGGCCTTTAAGAATCGTCCCAAGGGTGATAGTGTTGTGTCCAGATCGCAAAGTCCCCAAAGACCACCAAGGAGCCGATTCCGATGTAAACACACGAGGGTCGTTTATTCAAGCTCGAGCAGGGGCACTCACCCGTCACCGACGCAGCGGATCAGGATTGAGAGCCCCGAATTCCAAATCAGCAGGGTTTTTATTGTGGCTACCGCAAGGTTTGGGGATGTTCCATTTAGCAGTTACATGATTGGTTGATATTTAGCAAGCATGGGGGGTTGAGGGGTGGCTACATGTAGAGTTTATGGGAAAAAGGAACAATCAGCACATTGACAGAATGTTCTATAGATAATGGGCCCGGGAACATCTGTTTTCTGGGCAGACAGAGGATTGAGTTAGGAGCTGTGTCCTTTTTTTATCTGTTGTCCCACAGCAAGGACATTTTATCATTATTTTATGGGCACAAAGGAGACTAGGGGAATAGTTGACTTCAGTGAAGTGGAATTTATGTCAAGGCCACTTCACTGTCTTATTTTAAGATGGAGTCAAACTTTAAAATGGAGTTAGTTAGGTCTCACAATAGATACTCTGTTATTAAAGGTTTTGTTTCTGTTTGTCTTACTGTTTTCTTCATATGGTTCTTTCTGGGTCGTTTCTGCTGCTGTGTGTTCAGGGTGGAGTGCACTCTGTCCGCGCCTGTCCAAGGCCGGGCACCTGCTCACCGCTGGTTGTGTCCTCTGGCTTCTTGAGCACAGGAGCACAGTTGTGATAACTGACCCAGTGTCCCTGTGCGGTCTGTCGTCCGGGCCAGGTCTGGCTGTGTCAGTTACCAATTCTTATTATTGCGGGCTCTCTTTTCCAGCTTCTCTGCATGCTGGCGATTTGTTTGATGTCAGGCTCTATGAATGGTACTTTTGTCTTCCCGAGCTTCGTTCTGGGAAGTGTTTTGTTGTTGTTTTAAAGTTTGCTCTTAGTTTTAAGTTTTGTTAATGGCACCAGAGCTGAATTTAGTGTAGGGTTAATTTTTTTCTGCCTGATGTCTGGTGTGTTGAGAGCCTTTGCTCCTTATATTTTACCTGGCTTTTTGTTTCAAGTGGGAGAGAAACCCAATCCCCATTACTCCGTTTTAGCTAGGAAGGAAAGTTTTCTTTGTTAAGCTGTTGGAAAATTGTTACAAGGATTTAAGGATTTCTCAGTTACCTGCTTCCTGTTTTCTATGTGGTTGTTTTTTAAAGAATAGCAAATGTTTTTAAAAAGTAAGAATGACTAAGTAGAGCAAGGCCTTTGACACAATTTGAAACACATAGCCTGGCTTGTTTCAGAGTTACTTTGCAAGTGGTTTCTGAAACCTCAAGCTGCTTGTTTCCCCACAGTGTTACTCTTTCTTAAGAGCTCTTTTTCCTTTATAAGCTTATTTTGAAGAGGAGAGACGTTGCACATAAAACTCTTAACATTGTACTGGCTTGTAATAGCTTTAAAATACACATTTTTAGGGCTGGGGATTTAGCTCAGTGGTTTTGCCTCCTGTTGTGCAAGCACAAGGACCCGAGTTGGATCCCTGATAGCAAAAAAAAAAAAAAAAAAATCCACATTTGTAGGAGTTGAGTGTCTTGCAGAGGTTAGGGAGATTCCCACTTGAGGTCGTGTCAGCGCCAGTCCAAGCTGTGGACTGTCCCTGAGTGGGCTGGCCATTGCTGGCAGGGGTGTACAGGCCATGCAGCTGGGGTGTCGGGAGGATATGGAGGTACAGGATGGGGAACCAGTCAGCATTCCCACCTCTGGCCACAGCACGTGACACCATGACTTAAAGCAGGAGAGGTTTCATGTCCCTCACGTTTCAGGGGGTAAAGTCCATGGCCAGCTGGCTCTGGGCCGAAGCGTGGCAGAGGGTGTGACAGAGCAGAGTTGCTCCGCTTATGGTGGCCTGGAGGAGGCAGAGCTGGGGAGCAGTGTGGAGAGGAAGGGGCCAGGGACCAGGCATCAGCCCACAGATGCACCCAGCAGTGTGTCCCACCGTCCCCTGGGTGGGTCCCAAGCCAGGGAGGCTGACACGGAACCTCACTGCAGAGAGTGATTCGAGGGGTGACCTTGCACAGATGCCGGGGGTCACCTGTAACTCTGTTGACCCAGAGCCTGGATGACATTCTGGATGAACAGAAATGGAGATTTTGTCCATGGAATTCCTGACTGTCCTAGTTAAGTTAAGGGAGGAAAGGGTTTATTTGGCACACAGTATGTAGAGGTTTCGGCCCGTAGTCCACTGGCTCTAAGGCAGGGCGGCACGGCAGAAGAGAAACAGTTTAGAGCAGGGCGGGCACGAGCAGCGGCCCTCGTTCTGTCCCTTATTTTCATCCAGGTTACCCAGCCTTAGGGTGGGGCACCCTTAATCCCAGCGTCTGTCTGTACTCTCAATCCAGCTGCCTCTGAAAAGCCCGCCTGTGGCCACATGAAGCTTTGGGGGACTGACCACACGGGCAGCAGCTCTCATGGGAGGTGACAGAAGGTAGAAAGCAAAGTGTGCATTCCTCTGTCGGGACCTGGGAGCGGGGCCTACTGGAGACAGCCTCACCAGAAGGCCTGGAGTGTTCGTAGCCCAACAGCCACCCCACAGCCCAAGTGCCACTTGCCCTGCATGGTCCCCATTACGGCTCCTAACCTTGATGATGCTGTTACTCTCTCCTGCAAAATTATTGCAACACTAAAGCTCTGCTTTTAACTATTTCTTAGGAAAGTCTATTCTTTGTAATGTAACTCAGGTTTTGTTTTGCAGGCAGAAGCAGCAGATTACCCACCTCCATGAGAGGATAAGGGGCAGTGAACTGCGGGCACAGCATGCCAGGTTAGGATGTTACGTGAACTGTGAAGATCCTTGTGTGGCTAGTTTGCAGGTAAGGCTATAGGACACTTTTGTCCCCTAGTAATGAAGGCTGAACCCAGGGCCTTTGCACTGGGGTGTAGGTTTTTTCATCTTTCATTTAGAGATGGGGTCTCGTTAGGTGACTAAGTTCCTGAGCTGGGCTTGAACTTGTGATCCTCCTGCCTCAGCCTCCCAGAGTGCTGATGATTGGCACGTGCCACTATGTATCTCGTGTTAATAGCATACTTAGCTTATCAAATCAGGATATTTTAATCCAGGTGTGAGCTGGTAGTGTATTCACGTACTTCACAGGTATGTAACAGGTGTCTGCTGTCTCCATCTGTCCCGGTCATGCCCCTGTCACGCCCATAGGAACCACTGGGGTCAGTTTCTAATGTGTCTGTCCACGGTGGCTGGGTAGCATCAGCAGACGTTCCTGAAAGGTGTCAGAATGCATTGTTCGGGATCTGATTTTATTCCTTCTTTCCAGGCGTTGCGTGAGTGTGTAATTTGTGTTGGCGTTGTCATGTTGCCATGGTGCCTGAGAGCCATGTGTGAGGCTCTCCTCTCCCAGCCTTTCCACGCGTGTCCTCTCAGGAGCATGTGTGTGCCATGCGTGCAGTGTGTTCGCCCCGCTATCTGCTCCCGGCCTCTGGGGAAGGCAGGCAGAGGGCATCTCCATGCCCCGGCACAGCTGGTCATGCCGGGCCACTGCTCCCACACAGGAGTATCAGGAGGGGCACTGTGGGGAGCACACTGCGGAGAGGGAACCGTGTGCCTGTATTTCGTGATGGTGTGCCTCAGAGCTCAGCCCAGCGGCACAGTGATGGAACATGTTGATGTGCTAGTCACCAAGTGTAGCAGAAGTGGAGCCTCCCTGTTAAATGCCTCTGCCTGAGGTAAATCTGAAGCTATCTGGTCCTCCTTCTGTGACCCCCTCATTCAACAGCAAGGCTGCTTGGTGCTACTCCAAAATGGTATCAGTGTGCTGTGTAACTAGTATGATTTGCTTTGGTAATAGTATTTTTGGTAAAACCATTCACTGTCTCCTTGTAAGTTTCATCACTCTGAATAAGTGCTTTTCTTGAACTATGCAAGTATTACATTAACTAAAGCATGTAAAGAGTGGGTGTTGGAGAGAGAAGAGAGCACGTTTCTGACAAACCGCAGGCCAGTGGAGGGCGCTCACGTCAGTTGGCCAGGTCTGGTTGGCGTCTGGAAGGAGGTGGAAAAGGACCCTTCAGAATCCTAGAAGGGTTCAGCTTGGGTGGAGAATTGAAATATCGTCGAGAAGTTTGATTTGAGAACATCACAGCAGTTTATCCAAGGGAATACAAGGAAAGTGCTAAGTATTATAAATATAGGAGCTGATAGATGGCAAGGGTTAGAAGAAGCAACAGATAAGATGGTAAAGTATTTCCTTAGCAAAGGGATTTTTACCTTGGGTTTATGAACAATTTTTATAGGTGGTGAATTTATACATGCCCATTTTTGTGGTTCGTAGCAGGTTGAGCCTAGTCTCTGACCATTTGACAAAGAAAATTCTGCCTTTCATATTCTGTATATTCTAGAGTGAATAAAGTCAATTTGTGAAATAAGAATATCTTAAATTTATAGATGGAAAACACTCGAGAAGTGACTTCCACCTGACTGTTAATAACACAGGCTAATCTTACAGTCAGACGGCCCTGGGCCTTCCGAGTCTCCCAGGGACAACATGGGAACCAAGATGCATCCTGAAAGCGAAGGCTTTCAGTGTCGGTGGTAGTCATGATAGAATAAAAGGTAGTTTGTACTTAAAATGTTTTACTCAGAATTTCTGCCTGTGGTTATAGGTCTTAATGGGAAAAAACGTGAAGGACTTTTTTTTCTCTTTAACTGAAGGTGAGTTTTTTTCCATGCACCTGTGTACTTTGAAAAAATCAACTATTTCATGGAAGCCTTGTTCCTTGTTTACTTTCCATTTTATTATTTTTTTCCATTTTCTTTTTCTGTTTTTCCTTTATCTTTTTCCTACCACCAAATCCTTTGGTTTTGGTGAGTACTGAGTCAATGAGTCCCACCTTTACCAATGAGTCCCTTTAAAAAACATAAAACACGGGAAGTGTTACATTCTGGGGCCGTAGTAGTGAAGAACAGTGTGCTGCGGATCTCAGAGCCCAGGGAGGAGACTACGAACATCTTTGTCCATTCTGTGAAAGTGAGTCATGTTCACTGTGGTCATGGCAGCCACTTCAGCTAGGAATGCCCACGCGGTGGGTTTGCTTGGCCGGACAGAGCGTGCGGCCTGGCCGGAAACGCAGGCACAGTGCGGACAGTCGCTGCGCCGTGGGGCGCTGAGAGGCGTCTGAAGGCCGGCAGCCCCGGCCCCAGGCGCACCGAGCCCAGTCGGGGCCCGGGGAGACCGACGAGGCGGAGCAGCAGAGCCCCGCAGGAAGTCAGCCGGCGTCCCGTGAGGAGCAGGGAGACCGGCCCTTCTGTTGGGTGCGCTGAAAGGAGGGCGGGTGGTGAGGCTGCAGTGGGGAGGAGGGGCCGGCCCTGCGTCCCGGGCGTGGTCCAGGCGGCCCTCCTGTGGTCACTCCGCGCACGACCCAGGGTGCACGCGTTGGGAGCGGGAACTAGCCCAAGAGTTACGTGAACACTGGGTGCTGTTTCTGTTTGTGTTTGTTTGAGGCAGGGTCTTGCTCTGCAGTTCATGCTGGCCTTGAACTCACTGTAGCCCAGCCTGGCATCATCTAACTCCCAGGGATCCTCCTGCCTCAGCCTCCTGACTGGGGTCACGGGGCTGCGCCACCACGCCTGGCACACACCGCATTTTACAGCAATGGTGTGATCAGGACAGAGGGAGTGCTTGTGACCGCCTGTGTGACCCTGCACAGTCCCGTGTGCGGGGAGAGGCGCCCTGGGCGCGGGAAGCCACGCCCACCTGATTGAGACCGCGAGGGCAGGCGCAGCTGTGCAGGAGACACAGGTGTGGGAGACTCACCTGCGGGGCGGCGGGGTTGGCTTTCAGGGGTGCAGGTCTCATGGGCCACACTGACGGCGCCGGTGCCTTGGGCAGGACCTGTCGCTCCCGGGCGCTGAGCAGCGAGGAGGAAGGGGATCCCCTGGAGAGACGGCGCCGTCCTGGTCCTCCAGAAGGTGGGGAGCAGCAGGCCAGGACTTCCGCGGGCCCTGGTGTTTCTGAGCTGCGGGGGAGGCGGCGTCTGCTGTGGACCAGCACCCCGGGGCGCAGCCATACAACCCGGCCTTCGCCAGCAGCTGGGGAGCGCGGGGAGCAGACGAGTCGCGCGACCCCTGCCCCGTGCCCGCGCGAGCCCCGCTGTGCTTTTGCTTGCTTGCTTTTACATTTCTTCCCGGCGGCCGGGGCAGTTAGAGGAGGGTGCTGGAATCTTCAATCTGGAAGAAATTCAGAGCTTAGGACCCCACCCCGCAGGTCGCCTTCCGGTTCCCGCGCCCCCGGGGTGACAGCCCGGGGACCTCCAGGCCCAGCCCTCCTGCTCCTGCCCTGGCCTGGCCCCCCGCCTGGCGCTGACCGTGGACGCCGGCCACGGCTCCTGTGGAGCCTTGGCCGAGCGCTGGCTCTCGAGTGTGGCCCCCACGCTGCGGTGCGAACACCGGGAGACTCAGTTTCCACAGGGCTGGGGCCGCGGCCTCTCATCGGCACGGTCCCCTCGGCGGAGCTCTGCCGCCCGCCGGCGCCGGCGCTCTGAGATGCAGGGCAGCCTGCTCCTCACCTCCGCGTCCATCCGCTTCCCTGGCGCCCTGCCCACTCCCGCGAGCCCGACCTCCCGTGGGTTTCCAGGTGTGTTCGTGCTGCTCTGTGCTGTGGCAGGATCACAGTGTTAACTTTGTAGGGATTCACTGAACTTCCCCGAGAGCGGCTTGGGTTCCTGGCCAAGCCGAGAGGAGAGCGGGAGTTTCTCACACCCAGGGCCCCTTGCCCCCCAGTGTCCCCTCTGCCCACATCCTGTACCGCAGTTTATGTTAGGGTTTAGTCTTTATTTTTTTGTTTTTGTTTTATTTAAGTACTGGAGGGTTGAACCCAGGGCCTTCGCACTGGGCTGCAGGCCCAGACCTTTACTATTTTTCTGTCTTGTGACAGGGTCATGCTGAGTGGCTAAGTTGTCCAGGCTGGGCTAGAACTCGCTGTTCTCCTGCCTCAGCTCCCAGAATGCTGGGATCGCAGGAGTGCACCACCAGGCCTGGCTAGGGTTTACTCTTCATGCCTTCCATCCTTTGGGTTTGAACACTGATAATAACATCCATTATCATACACCAAAGTAGAGCCACACCTCCTGGGTCTCCCACCACTGCAATATCTTGTTCTTTTTTCTTTCTCTTTTTAATTTTATGAAAAAAATAAAACAAAATTTCTTAATAAGAAAATAGCAATAGTTATTATATCACTGTCTTCAAACTAGTTACTCAAAGTACAAGACTCAAGCCAAAAAGATTCTTACAAAAAAAACCCAGGTAATAACACAGAACTTTCTTTTCAATGAACTAGGATAAACTAGTGGTATAAATGGAACCAATTAGCATATATATTGAAATATTTTTCAAACAATGAAGTTTGTATTTTGTATTTTGGGGAAATACTTGAACTTCTCCCTACTTCCTATTTTTCTCTCTTCTGGTTTTGTTCTTTATTTGTATAAATGTGTATATTGTATATGTGTTTCTCGTATAGGAAATCACGCAGTATTTGAGCTTGTGTGTCTGACTTATTTCAAGTGTGTCTTTCTTTACGGCAGTGTGGTACTCCATTGTGTGTAAATACCACATTTTACTTATCCATTTATCTGTCGATGGACATATATGCAGTTTCTAAGACCTAGCTATTTTAAATTGTGTTGCTGTGAACATCAGTGTGCATGTATCCCTGTGACATGACGGTTTAATTCTTTGGGGAAGATACTTAGAAAGAGGAGGGCTAGGTCAAGTGGAATTCTTTTTAGTGCTGCACAGTACAATATTCACTGTCCGGATGCATCACAGCTTGTCCGTTCGCCTGCTGTAGGAAGTCGTGATTGCTCCCAGGTTTTGGTGTTATGAGTGAGGGTGCCCTGGGGGTGAGGGACACCCAGAGGTGTGTGCTTTCTGTCCCTACTCCTCACATAGCACAGGTGCTTCTGCCTCCACTGGGTAGGGCTTGTGTGCCCATACCCCAGGCAGTCAGGTATGCAGATTCTCCTTGGGCAACCCCTGGGTATCTTAGTCTGTTCTTCTCTGGTTCAGGCCTACTCCATCCATGTGGGTTCTAGAAGTGTAGAGCCTTAGTTACTAATGCAGGCACCACACACACAAGTACTTGGGGCTCAGTCCATGCCGGTTTATGTGAAGCATCATTGTGTAAGTGTGATTGGTTTTTAAATCATTGCCATTGACAACCAACTCAGCTCCTCTCCCTTCCCAGATGGAGGGAGGTGGGACTGGCAAGTTCAAACCTCTAATCATGGTCACCAGACCCCATCCTGAAGATACTGAAGGGCCACCATCCCCAGTTGTCTCTGTATCATACGGGAGATGCTCTTCGTCACTTCGGATATTCCCAGGCTTTTAGGAGCTAGATGATAGGAAATAGGGATAAAGACAGAATGTGTATTTCATACCATCACAGATGCATAACCGCCTGTGTGCAGGTCTTTAGTGTGGACATGTTTTCAACTCCTTGGATAAATTCTCTGGAGCACAGTTGCTGGGTCCTTTGGTGAGAGGATGTTTAACTGTGTAAGAGATGGCCAAGCTGTCTTCCAGGCTGGTGAGTTGCTCCACACACTCCTCTGTAATCAGTGTTTCGGATTCGGGCCATTCTCATATGTGAATTAAGACATCTCGCTATTACTTTGCAGTTCCCTAATGACAAATGGTCAAGGTCTTTTCATATACTTATTTGCCATTTGTGTATCTTCATTGTGAGATATCTGTTCAGATCTTTTTTAATTGGGTATTTTCTATTGCTAAATTTTGAGAGTTCTTTGTATATTTTAGGTAACAGATTTTGTTATCACGTATCTTTTGCAAATATTTTCTCTCAGTTTATGGCTCATCTTCTCATTCCGATATTGAGAACTCCTGCAGTGGATCCCAATCTCCTGCTCAGTGCTATGAAGCAAGGAGAGAAGAAAGACTCAGAGACAAATCAAAGAAAGAGACGGGGAACTGGGATGGTCAGTGCTTTAGCAAGCAAGGACCCTGAACAGCCAGAGCCGCTGATATTTATTGGTTACACAGTCATTCATTAAGTTGGGGTGAGGGGGCTATGTGTGGTTGCTAGGGATAAGTTGCTGATGCAGGCAAGGCTTGTGAAAGAAGAAACAAAGCTCTCTTGTGTTAAGAACAGAACAGACAAGATAGAGGTTGTGGCTAACAGTTACCCTTGTCATTTTAGCTAAGAAGGCTACATTTCTGGGAACGGCATTTGGGTTGAGTCACCCTGCCTTGGCCACCATGCTATGCCATGTCATTTCACGGCAATTTCTCTGGCCTCTGCCATGGCCTTTGGTGGTGGGGTGGTTGGTACTGGCCCATGTGCCATCTGCAGTGCTCTGTGGGTCACGGCCGGATTCACTTCTCTATCCAAGCCATTGTGGGGGTTAACGCTCTGTAGCCTGCGCTGCTTACAACCTGCTTTTGGCATAATGGTTAGGGTGGTTTCCACTGATCCTCGCCACCATCCTTCACCAAAGAGAAGTCTCTGGTTTCAATGGAGTGCAGTTTATTACTGTGTTTTCCATTGATCTTGCCTTTGATGTTGTATCTAGCAAGTCATCACCATGGCCCAGATCACCTAGGTTTCCTAATGTATTCTTTTCTTTTTAAGGAATTTTCTAGGATGATGATTGACATTTATGACCATGGTCTATTTTGAGTTAATGTTTATAGAGAGGTAAGGTTTGTGTCTAGATAAGTTTTATTATTTTTATTTTTTCTATGTGAATGTCTAGTTCCAGCACCATTTGTTGAACTAGAAAAGGGACTGTTCCATTCCACTATGTGTACTGATTTTAGTGTTAGCTGGAAATTGCCACCATGAAGAAATTTTTCATTAGTTTTTCTTTATTTCCATAAAACTTTTACTTGTACCAAGGGATTGCACCATGTTATTTCCTATTTACATTTCCAAGTGTACCTTTAAGCCAAGCAATAGCTCTCTTTCATGAAACCTCTGCTATGGGCTGGGAACTTCCGTGTTTTACTCCCTGACTTTGAAAGCCCTGCCGTTCCTCCTCCCCACAGCCACAGTACGAGAGTGCCGCCCTGCAGGCCGCGTGTGCAGAGCCGGCTGGGGCCCAGCCGCAGCCCGAGGGCCTCGAGCAGAAGCTCGCGTCTACTGAGAAGGAGGTCTCACAGCTCAGTGACTTTCTCACGCAGAGAATGAGCCAGTTCAGCGAGGAGAAGAAGAAGCTGGAGGAGAAGGTGGGTGTCTGGATGAAGTGTTGGGTCAGCAGCTCTCCCTCAGTGGAGAAGGTCGGCCTTCACCTGTACGGGGTCACACCCAGTTACATTTCACAGAGGGATCAATCCTGTGCATCTCCTGCGGAGCCCTGACGGTTTCTCCCAGTCGAAATCCCTCTGTGTCACCTGTCTGAGTGAAAGTCCCTGCCCCACCAGTGCCACTCTCCTCATTGGGCTCGTCATCCCCTGGCCTTGTCCTGTCCCAGAAAAGCACTGGAAAGGAAAGGAAGTGGCCTTTTGTCCTTACTGAGTTACTAAGCTGGGGAAAATGGTTTGGGATGAGAGGCTACATGGCAAATTCGCACGCGACACACACTTCCTACGTGTGTGGTTGACTTTCCTGCTGTGTTAAACTGTCTCTTTTCACCTCAGTCCCCATTACAGAATCATTAGAGACCCAGGCAGGATGTGTGGCACGTCATCCAGTGTCACACGCTGTCCCTGGTTTATTGGAGGGTGCAGATCCTTGGGTAACTTGCAGAAGCAATTGTAGACTTCCTTGTTACGCCCAGCCGATTATTTTATTACGTCAGCCTTCCATTCATGTGACCCTGGAGAGGTCACCCTGATTTCTGCAGTTTGACAGTGTTAACAGATGACTCCGTTGATATCTTTGTGTGTGCACGTGTGTGCAAATACATACATGTGAGTTGGAATTTTTATCTTCAAGGCTGACAGAAATTTTATGTGCTCTATTTTTGTCAACTATCTGATGTCTTTTATCTTGGCTAATTTGAAAGTACCTCACAGAGCCCTTTCTTGTTTCCTTTGTGTATTGCGGGGGCGTCTTATACAGTACTACATAATCCCAAGGAGGAGGGAATACTCATTGGTCACGTGTGGGAGGTATTACAGTCGACTCCCACCTGAGCCTTCTTCATTTAAAAAATGTGATGTGGGCCGGGGATGTAGCTCAGTGGCACCACACCTGCCTCACAAGTGCAAGGTCTTGAGTTCGATCCCTAGTACCGGGGAAAAAAACCAAAATGTGATGAAAGTTATGATATTTCAGTGGCTAAAGAGTTTAAATACATTTTTTGTTTTATCTAAATTGTTCTCATCTCATTACTCTTGGAGTTCAGTGCTTACTAAAGTCAGTTTATACACGTACTGCCTAGTTGACAGCCACTTGGATGTCTCAGCGGGTACTTGAGACTTTTAATGTCAAAACACGATTTGTTATGTTTTATTTCCTTTCATTTTGGGGGTTTTATTTTCTGTGCTGGGGATCAAACACAGGGCCTTGCTAGATAAGCTTTGTGCCCCTGCTCCCCAAAGCAGCTCTTTTGCCTCCTGGCTGCTGTGCTTCCCCTCTGTTCAAACACAGTGAAGTTTTCTTCCGTGTTCATGTCCAGTGCGTCGTGCTAAAACTTTACAGTCTACTCAAGCCTGTTCCTCAGTACATGCTGTATAGCACTGCCACACCCCGCATGGCCCAAGGGTTCACAGAGTGAGAAACACAGGTGGGAGATTAAGAAAAGGTAAAGAAAAAAAGTTACAAAAGCACAAAGAGAACGACGAAGACAGCAGTAAAGCTGATACCCTCGTCCTGATGGGGCAGAAGGGCTGGCTGGCATCTGCAGCACCTGTATTTCTAGTGTAGCAGTAAGGGAAGCACAGGGGGCGGTCAAAGAGGCTGGTCTGTAAGCGGAGCCAGGAGAGCAGCTAAAGTCTGCAGGACTTCATGCTTGGTTTTCTGGAGAATGAGTGGGCAGGAAGACGTCCTCTTCTCGGCCCAGCCTTGCTTCACCACGCCTTCTTGTCCCCTGTTCTCTTCCCAAGGGGCCCTGCCTCGTCTGAGGGAGGAAGCGAACAAGATGCGTGTTCCTCATTCCACGTGGGGCCCTGCCTCGTCTGAGGGAGGTGGCCAGTTAGGCCTGGCCACAGTGATCTAGAGCACAGCGCTCCCAGCATAGCACCTTTCCCTCCAGCCGCCCAGAGGTCGGGCCTTACTCAGCTTGTGGTGTGTCTGAAACCATGCTCCCCTGGGAAGGCAGCTCCCCATTTCTTGCCCCACAGCCCTGGCACCCACTGGCTGTGCCCTCTGTGCAGACTCACATAAGCAGGCTTGTTTCATCTACCGTGGTGTTCTCCAGGGCCACCCGTGTTGTACCAACTGGCAGGATTTCTCTTTTTAAAGGTTGAATAGCATTCCACCATGTATACAGCATACCACATTTATTTATTTTTAATTTAAATGTTTTAACTGAAACACTTTGCTTCTCGGCCTTTTGGCTGAGATCAAGTGTAGTAACTGACACAAAAGCAAAGCACATTTTTTACTGTTCATTAGTGAATATTAGGTTGTTTCCACATTGTACTCCATATTGTGAGTAATGTTGCTATGAACATGGGAATGCCGCTGTCACTTTTAGATCCCAGTTTCAGTTATTTTAGATCCTGACTTTGATTCCTTGAGATACCCAGCAGTAGGAATTCTGGATTACAGGCCATATATGTATTTGAGGACCCTCCATCCTGTGTGCTGTAGCAGCTGTACTCCTTATGTTACCAGCAGTGTCTAAGGGCTCACCTTTCTCCAGGTCACCACCAGCCGTGAGCTCGTGTTTGATGGTCACTGTCCTTCCAGGTGGGAGGTGGGAGGTGGGAGGTGGGTAGGTTTGGACTTGCATTTCCCTCCCATGGAGCGCAGCTGGTCATCTCTATGTGTTCTTTGAAGAAGTATGCTTCAGGTCCTTTGCTTATTTTTTGATTGGGTTGTTTTGTTTGCTACTGAGCTTTAGCATTTCTTTACACTGTTGTGCATGTCTTTTCCAAATATTTTCTCCCATCCTGTAGGATTCTTTACATCTCATTAGTTGTTTTCTTTGCTGTGCTAGAGCTTTTCAGCTTGATACAGGCTCACTTGTTTATTTTTTGTGTTTCACCTAAATTTTTCTCCTCTTACTCTATGGTTCCTGTGCTATTGGAATCATAGCCAGGAAATGACCCAAACCCAGTGTCAAGAACCTTTCCCTTGTGTTTTCTCTTCAGAGTCCAGTCTTTGTTTAAAATTTGTAGTCAGTTTTGAGTTGATTTTTGTGTGTGTTGTAATAAAAAGGTCCAGTTCATTCCTTGCATGCCCAGTTTTCCCAGAACTATTTCATGATGACGTTGTCCTCTTTGTGTGGCTTGGGGCATGTGTTCTTCCCCAGGCTGCTGAAGTGACCCTTTGCTGCATAGTGACTTTCCTTGTCTCTCAGAAGTTTTTGATTCAAAATATTATTTTGTCTGATAATAAATATATCGACTGCCGCGCTCTTTGGGTTGCTGTTTGTATGGAGTGACTTTCCATTGCTCCTCGTTCAGCCTTGAATCTAGGAGATTCTTTGGCACTGTCTCTTGTAGACAGTGTAGAGTGTGTCTTTTGATGGTGTGTTTAATCTAGTGACATTTGAAGTTATTGCTGCTACCTGAAGACTTACTATTACCATATTGTTGCTTCCTGTCAGTATTGTAGTTGTTCTGTTGTTCTTTTCCTCTCCTGCTGTTTGTGTCTTGCTGAGGTTTTGGGTTGAAAAGCTTTAACCAATGAACAGTTTACCCCAAGTGTCACTCGAGCAGCGTGTTTATGTTTGTTTGTGATATGTGGACCTCCAAATACTGTAAGGGAAATATAACTCCCACCCTGCTAGTGCTCTGAAATGCCGAGTTTGTGTTCTCTAAAATAGAATGAATTCTAGGAACAACAGAGGTTAAGAGTAGAAAGAATTTATTGAGAGAAAGAAAGCTCTGTCTAAGAGAGACAGAAGGGAGGTCCAGAAAGTGAGTTGCCCACTGACCCTGTTTCTCAGGGGTGTTTTACTGAGCAAGCCACGAGGTGAGGCAGCTACAAGGTGGGACAAAACTAGGGTCAGCCAATAAGATTATAACAAGTACAGTCACTTAGGTAATATTGATTAAATGGGGATCCAATAGGGGAGCAGGTGACAGAGCAAACGTGTGTGTCGGGTTGTTGGCCCAACCAGTTAGGGGAATGCCCGGTCACCTGAATGAGGGGACAGCAGAGCACGAAAGAGTAATATACAGAGAACAAGGAATAAAGAATAATGAATGATAGCTTATTACTTGGGGGACCAGAAACTGACCTCAGCCTTCTCTCACCTAAAGACCGTCCCATCTTTGCTGTCATGGCTAAGACCACAAGCTCTGGATTAGTCAGGATTTATGACTATAGAGCATGGCAAGGGGGCGTGAAGGCAGATGCAGGGAACAGCAGACCTGATGCACAGTGAGCCAGGCTGTAAAGGGGCAGTAACTGTGTATTCTTGTGAGGGCAGGTCACAGTTAAGGAGCCGCCTGTGCTGTCTTGCAGGTCACCGTTAACAGGCCACCTGCATTATCTTAGCTAAGGTTCGATCGTGGAGAATGGCTACAGAGTCATAGCTCCTCAGCTGCAGTGTTTCCTTGCTGTAGAGACATCACAGCCTCATTGACCATTGAGACCTCAGCTGGGACTGTTGGCTAGGGAAGTCTGTCTCCGTACATCAGCCAAAAGGTCAAGTAGTCATTCACACTAGGCCTTAGAATGACTCATAATTTTAATCAGTAGCCGAATTCATAAGCCAGGTCAGTAATATCTAAAGCCTGCGGTGCAGTTTCAAGCTGGTCTCCTGCGTACATGGAACAAGGGTTTTCTGGGAGGGAGTGGCCCTGGGAGGCCGTGGTCCCCACCGTGGTGATTGGTGCTTCATAGTGTCAGTCACTGCTGTCGTCCCTAGGAGAGTCGTGTGGGTGTAGCCGTCCTCTTTCCCTCAGAGCCTTGCCTGCGGTGACTGCCTTCTGCCGCAGCTGTTCTGCACTGATTCTCGGGCCGGGCGCTGCCTAACTGCCTGTGGTCCTATTTCTGATTAATTTAGCTGCCTGCAGTTGTGTCATTTCAACCAGTCCATTCGTACATTGAACAAATTTGATAAAATTCTCCATTATAATTTCCTGTTAGATTATCTTATAAAAATGAAAAAATATGCAATTTTTGGTCATTCTCTGTTTAAATAATTGGACTGGTAAGTGGTTAATTCTTTTTTTTAATTATAGGTCTTTTGTGGTTAGTAGGGACTTATATAAAATCTTTTATATTATAGTCTATTTTAAGCTGATAACTTCAATGACGTTAAAAAAAGAGACTTCACTTTTTACTCTTCCATACTTTATTGGTACCACAGTTTACAGTTTATATCATGTGTCCAATAACATTTTTTTTTTTTGGTACTGGGGATCGAACTCGGGTCTTTGCGCTTGTGCAGCAGGCGGCAAAACCACTGAGCTAACTCCCTGGCCCCAATAACATTTTTGTATTTATAATTTTTAAAAATTTTATCCCATTCCCCCATTATAGTTAATTTTAATTGTTGAACGTTTATATTAGAATTAAAATTGAGAGTGACGTACTTGCCACTGTATCACATTGTTCTGTCTTTATCTGTATATTTATTATTGTCAGCAAGTTTATACGTTCTCATGCTTTTCTATTACTGTTTAACATCCTCATATCTTAATTTGAAAAGTTCTTATAAGACAGGTCTGGTGGCAATGGGCTCTCTGTTTGATTTGGGAAAGTCTTCTCCCCTTGATTTCTGAGAGCTGGTTTGGAGGTTCTAGCGGGGAATGCAGCTTCTCTATGAGGGAGTCCTCTTCCACCGAGCACGCAGCTTCGGGAGGGAGCGCATGCAGCGGTGAGGGAGAAGAGGACCCTGCCCGGCCGGCCGGATCCGCCACGTCAGCCCTGCGATCAGTGGGGTGACTGTGGCAGCCAGACCGCCCTCCTGGCCTCCCCTTCGCTTTGAAGGACAGTTTGCTGCGCATCCTGTTCTCAGTTGGTGGCCTTCTCCTTCAGGACTTGGAATGTGTCATACCACTTTCTCCTGGCCCGCAAGGTTTTTTAGCCCCTCCCGTACTGAGAATCGAACTCAGAACCTTGCACTTGCCAGGCAGGCAAGGCTCCATTGAGCTACATTCCCGGCCCTTGCAAGTTTTTTTGGTAAGAAATATGGTTTATGTGACAAGTCATTCTTTTCTTGATGTTTTCAAAATTCCCCATCACTGATTTTAGGGCCCTTGGTTCTAATGCTTCTACGTATGGATTTCTTTGGGTTGGGCCTTCTGGGACTGTGAATCCGTTTCCTTCTCCACATGTGGGGAGTTTGTGGCCATTGCCTCACACTTTCTTTTACCTCCCCTGTGTCTGGGATGCCTATAATGCATACGATGGGTCGGCTTGCTGGTGTCCATAAGCCCTTAAACTTTCTTAACTTTTGTGTTCCTTTTTCTTTTTGTTCCTTTGACCTGTCTTTAAGTTTGCTTATGTTTTGCTGCTTGATGTAGTCCCTCTCCGTTAGTGAATCCAGTGCAGCTGCTTTGGGGTTTCTGATTAACATTTCCAGTATTTTCTCTTTGTTGAAATTTGTCTGTTCATACATTGTTCTCCTGACTGTGTTGAAGTTACTTTTATAAAAGCTATTATACCTTAGACTAAAGTTAAGTAAGTAAGGCATGAAAGAAACTAGACCATGGACAAGTATTAGCTTTAATAAAATTTGAGTGAATAATCCATTATACTGCTGATTCTTGCCACTTATTTTCCCTGGTGAATATGAAAAAACTGTGAAAATATTTTAGAACCCTATTAAGTTTCTGTGAGAACATTAGATGTTAGAGAAACTGATAATTTAAGGTAAATGTGTGCCTGGAATTTACATTTTAGGCAACAGTTTTTGTACACATTTTGTTTTTTATGGTCTTAGGTATGAGAGATCTTTGAATATGAGATGTGAAATTTAAATGTAGGGAGGGAGAGGCTGGAGAGGGAAGGAGAAAAGAATCCAGATATGTCATGTACTCCCCATGAGGGATGTGACCATTGTGTACTGCAAACATGTCCTAAACAATAAAAAGTAAATTAGGTATGATATATTTCAGGTGGTAAAGTCAAAAAATTCATGAAAGTCTGAGGTTCCGCCTATATTAGGATCACGGCCTTCACGTGTTCTAGAGTAGACTCGTGGTTAGCGTATCTCCTCAGCCCTGCAGTGGGGGAGAAGGCGCTACACATGCCCTGTGGCGCCCTTGCTGGCGTGGCTGGGGGAGGGAGGGATGCCTTAGCCTCTCTCGTCCCTAGGACGTGTTCCTGGTGTTCCCAGCCCAGTCTGCTGGTTTCACTGCATCGCTGAGTGTGCGTAAGCAGTTCCTTCGCAGGCTGCTCCTAATAACAAAACAGCTTTAATTACCTGTAGGTGTCCTTTCTTGGTTCACTTAAAGCATTTGGGTGTAGCTTTGCAGAATATAAGAAATTGGAATCATTTCTCCAGAAATCAGTACCTTGCCAATTTTCAAACTATACCCAATGGCTCTGTTCTGTTATCTAATAACATTTTTCATTGCCAAATTAGAATATTTTAAAAGTTATTTTAAACATTATTTAGACTCAACACATAGTTGCAGCTTGAACATAAAATTGTGGAAGTGAAGACGTGGACACCTTTGGCCACTTGTGTGTGTGGATGATGAAGCCTGCCTCATTGCTGCAACCTGGCAGGAATTTACAGTTTGCAATTTATCAACAGATCCCCCCAAGTTCTTGATTCCAGTGAGCACAAAATTTGAAGAAAATGTGAATCTTATTATAAAATAAGTCTTGAGTTTGGTGATGGTCTTCACATGGGTGAATTCATCGATGCCCAAGATTGGAGTGTTAGTTTCATTATTGTTTTTTAATAACTCAACACTACTGAGCATTCATGATATTTTTTCTTTAGCTTAAAACCAGAGATAGGTACATCAGTAGCCTGAAGAAGAAATGCCAGAAGGAATCTGAACAAAACAAGGAAAAGCAGAGGAGAATCGAGACCCTGGAGAAGTACCTGGCGGATCTCCCCACCCTGGATGACGTGCAGAGCCAGACCCTGCAGGTAGGTGGGGTACGGTGCTCGTCTCCTAAGCCAACTCATTTCCAGGTCGGTCCTGTAGACAGCTGGCTCATCATGAATTATGTGTGCTTTTCACTGCTCTTAGGGTTTAACTTGAATCAGAAACTGGGCTCAGCTAAGCTGGTTAGTGCATGGTCACTGTCCTAGGGAAGCTACCATAGGGCTCTTGCTCCGGAAGCCTGGTTACCCTGCCCATGCATGCACGCACCTACCCAGGCATCCCAGTTCCGAGTGTCCCCAGTGTTCTCTGGGATCTAAGTCTCTTCATGACCTTGTGTTGAGTGTCTGAGAGACGTTTGATTCATTTTTCTTGGCCTTTCCATAAGTTTTTCTTACATCTTGGTATAAGAAACGACCTCTGCTCACTCCGCTGACTTTTGTTTTTCTTTCTTAAAAATATGTCATCCAAAGACTTTCCACCAAGTCTGGCCAGACCTAACCTCTTGAAACCTTAGCTACAAATACATTAAATCTACTCTTCAGTTTTTTCAAAATCTTTCTAACCCTAGATTTTCAGCCTCAGCACTGTAGACTGTGGTGGGAGACAGTTTCTTAACAGAGGTCTGCCCTGTGCATTTTATCCAGCCCTCTTGATGGCAGTAACACTGCTCCTTACCCACCCCACCATGTGAGTAGCCTTTCCACATGTTTCCTGGGGTAAAACCAGCCAGTTGAGAGTCATTGCTCTAATCTATGGAGTGTCACTATTTTTCATACTCTAAAATTTGCATGCCATTCTTTTACTTTATATTAATTCATAAGTTGTAAAACCATGAGAGGTTAAAATCAGGAAGGGACTTAAGGCCTACAGGAAATGTGCATGGGCAAGAACAAGAGAGCAACATAGACGTGGAAATGCCAAGATCATACACCTTACAGATGTGGCAGATGCTCAGGTTCCCAGGTGTGTAGTACCAGTCACAAGAGACAGAAGCTGGAACCAGTGCAGGAACCCATGGGTGGGTGGATCAGTAGAAACACAAAAGGTGTTGTGCACACGAGGCAGGTACTGTTGTTCAGCTTTAAACACGAAGCAATTTGGACTCAAGCCACAACCTGGATTAAGCTGGGGATATTTTGAGATTAGCAAAGACAGATACTGTGTGATTCTGCTTATATGGAGCAGTCAAGTTAGAGACAAGTAGACCAGCACTTGCCAGGAGATGGACTGAAGGATGGGGTAGATGAGGAGTCGCTTGAGGGGCAGAGCTTCGGTTGTGCAAGGTGAGTTCTGGTTGACACCACTGAACTGTTCACTGAGAAATGGTCAAGGTGCTGAATTTTAGGTGTGCTTCATTGCAACCAAAAATATGAGAAGGAGATTATCAACCTTCCTCTTTCCGTTCTAGAAATTTCTAACCTTCCTCTCTTCTTCACAATCTCATCCTTCCACTGTCTTCCACAGAAAAAAGAAGTGCTAAATACTGTATTTGAAATGAAGATAGTGTGATATTAGCAGTGAATCTATTAATTCTTGAGAACAGTAGTAATTTCTCATAGAAACATTTACTGTTCCGTGTATTATGAACTGCAAAAATATTTCTCCTTAGCTGCAGGTTCTAGAAGAAAAAAATAAAAATTTGCAAGAGGCTTTGATAGATACAGAAAAAAAGCTTGAAGAGATCAAAAAACAATGTCAAGAGAAGGAAGCACAGTTAATCTGCCAGAAAAAAAAGGAGAAGGAGTTAGTAACCTCCATTCAGAGGTAAGAAGACTCAGAATCCTTTCACTTCATTCTTAAGTCATTTATATTTTTTCAAGCATTTCACTTAAAATACATCAATTTGTATTACTTTATTATTTTTCTTAAAGACATACTGTTGAGAGTCAGAGTGCAATTTCATTGGAATAGATAGTCGTGATCCATTTTGAATCAACATGCAGACATTTTTCCAAAGGTTGTAGATGAGAAGAGCAAAACTGAGAAAAGAACAATGACAGTTGGAGACAGCACAGGCTGATGAAACTCACTCTCTCTCATGGTTTCGTCAGGGAACCAGGAAACCTCTAAATACCAGGAAAGGGGCCAACAGACGCACTGCCCCGCACGAGTGTGTGCCCGGGAAGTGTGTGGCCCGCAGGCGCGGGGGCTTCGCCAGGCGTGTCAGGCCTCGCACACCACGCGCTGCACACAGCTGCTGAGTTTTGTAGTGGGAAACACGGTGGACAGGGGTGTGGCTGTGTTCAGGGTGTGCACTGAAGCCTGGAAAGTTAAGATTGGGTTCCTGAGGAACCTAAGATACAGAGACTTAGGTTTTTTCTTTTTAAACTTAAACCTGATGCTATCAACTATAAATAGATGAAACAATCCTGAATAAGATTACAAAGCACCAAAAACTGAATGTAAGAAATTCAGTCTTAAGATTAGGAAAAAAATTGCCAGCTACTCCTCAGATAAGGACTAATATTTAGAATATATAAACAACTCAAAAAATGTAGATCCCCCCAAATAAAAAGGTCCAAACAAGAAATGGTGACTGAAACTAATACACTCAGAAGAAGTACAGATGGCCAATAAATACCTGAAAAAATGGTCAACATCACTGGCCATTAGAAAAATCCAAATTAAAACAACACTGAAATTTTCATTTTACTCCGGAAAGAATGGCCATCATCAAGACTTCAAATCATAACAAATGCTAGCAAGGCTGGGAGCCCTTCTACATTATTGGTGGAAATATAAACTTGTATAATCACTTTGAAAATCAATATGGAGATTCTTCAAAAACTAAAACTAGAAATTTCAGTCAACCCCTTCTAGTTATCTTCCCAAAAGAGTTCAAGACATCATACCACAGTGTGTTACATGCATGCCCATGTTTATAGCAGCACATTTCATAATAGTTAGATCTTGAAAGCAGCTTATAAGTCCATTAACAGGAGAATGGATAAAGAAGATGAGGAATTTATACGCAATGGAGTATGTACTACTCTGATATAAAGAAGGCTAAATTTGAGTCACATGTAGGAAAGTGGATGCACTTCGCAACCATAATGTTAAGTGAAATAAATCAGACACACAAGCTTAAATATCACAGTTTCTCTTGTGTATTGAAGTCAGACTATAAATAAAGAACAAAAGGTAGAAAAAGGGAAACAGAGATAGCTCTTTTGCAAATGGGAAAGGGAATAAAAATGATTAAGATGTGTGTACATGTGTCAGCTCCCCATGAGGAATGTAGTCAGGTACTGCAAACATGGACTCATAAAACAAGTAAAAGAAACTCAATATATTCAGCTTTTAAACCAGAATCCATCTGATTCCACATGAATTTCATGTTAATATTTTTTTACTTCTGCCTTCAAAGTCTGTTTCCTCATAACTTCAGTTATGAGTCACATAACATATGTGATCAGGCACTATTGAAGTTATCCTTACCTGTTTTGTGTACTTCTAAGCTTCTTGCTTCATGAATTCTTAAGAACATTTGAGATTTATAAATTAAGAAAAGTGCTCCACCAGAGATGACAGTGACAGGGTGATAACGTCTTGAGGACTGGCAGCTCCCCTGCAGCTGTGATGTGCTGGGGACACATGTCAGCGTGGGAGAATACTTCTCACAGATGAAGAAAGCAAATACTTTGATGACTACTAGCAATACATAAAAGTATCTCTGGTGCCATTATTCATAAATGTGTCTGAAGCCCTCACTGTACCACCAGGACTGGCAAAGAACTAATAAATATGACATTTCTTTTGGAAGAGAGAAAAAGCTTCAGGTAGCCATAATAATTGGAAAAAGAAAAAGAAAATATCAAAATGCAATTATAGGAAATCTTTTAGTGCTCTGCAATTCCTGAGTGATTAACGCTGAGGTAGAGCTAGCCCTAGAAGTCTTGCAGCTGTTAACAGTTTTGGTTTAGGTCATTATTGTTGATAATACAATTTCTTTTAACATTACTAGTGTTCTTTTCTCAAAGCTAGCACCTCCTCTACTTTATTCTTTTATGTTTAATGTGCCAGAGGGATTCTTTTGTTGTTTCTCCTTACTGTGGGTACAGGACAAACTGTTAGGCCGGGTTGTAAACACAGAAAATCGCTGCTCTTATCAATTGAGACGAAATGTTACTTTGCTGGTTTAGGTAACCATTGTCCTTACAAGAAAACTTTTGCTGAGCTTGGAATGAAGGACCAAAGACACGTATCCATATTCCTAGTCCTTAGAGAAGAAGGGACAGCTAGGGGCTGGGGACAGAGCTCAAGTTTAGGTGATGAAGGGCTTTGCCTGTGCCGAAATTGTCACATGATAAGCAACTCTGGTCTCTCATTTGCTGTTCTGAGGAAGCTGTCAGCCCCTAGCTACTTGTGGACCTTTCTTACCTGTGTAAATGTGGGTCTACTTACTCATGTGCTTCCTGGGTCTTGATTAAAAAATATCCGAAGAAGGAACGTCATATTGAAGCCATCGACCCAGATCGACAAATAGAGCTGCTTTTCCTCACATAATGATCTTTCTGAAACAGTTTGCAGCAGAAAGTAGAAAGATGCCTTGAAGATGGGATCCGCCTCCCCATGTTAGACACAAAACAGCTTCAGAATGAAAACGATGATCTCAGAGGACAGAATGAGGCGGCCAGTAAGGTGAGCAAGCTGTAGCGGTGAGCACAGCTGTCTGTGATTTGCAGTTGTGCTACTGTGTAGCAGCTTTGAACCTTGTCGTTTGAATGTTTTTATCTGGAAAGAAAATAGCAATTTAAGCAAATGTAAAGGATTCAAATTTAAGTAAAAGGCCAAACAGAAGGATATATGTTTTCTTAAATTGTTCAGTCTCAAAAGTTTTCATAAATCACATAAAGAAAAGTTTAACAAAAAAGACTTGCAATTTTATGTATGATCCAAATCACATTGCTATTTCAAGAATGCTTAGTATGAATAGCTTTGTAAAATAAAGATCCTTTTAAAATAAATTTATAATCCCATATATTTTCCTTTATTGCTTGAAATATTGGTACTTTTAGAAAGCAAAAGGGAAAAGTAAATTGATTCAAACTGACTTATCTTCTATGTTTTAGATAATAAGGAGCCAACAAGATGAAATTAACAGGATGACTTTAGAACTTCAGGTAAGAATTATTTTGTTCTCACTTTCATTCAGTGACAAGCTGATTTACTACTTGCAAACCTAGAAGTATTAAAGTATACTTACATTTGCATGAGAACATTAATGGCACTTGCGGTGAAATAACAAAATCTTTAGTATTAATCTTTCAGTTTTTTAGGAATTCTGTTTAATAAACTATGAGGAGTTGCAAGGACTGTTCTGTCTCATGAATCACCTGCTCTTTATCGGATGTAGTCTGGCCTCGCTGCTGAGCTCGCCTTCCGCCAGGTCAGCAGTGATCTCATAGGCTGTGTGGACTCCGGTCCCGGGGTCCCTCTCTTCACACGGATTTCCCTGTGGAAACAGCTTCGCAGTCCTGCGCCGGCGTTGGCCTCCCTCCCTCCCTCCCTCCCTCCCTCCCTCCGGCAGGCGTTCTCAGAGCTCCCTAATGAGCTGCTACTCCACGCCCTCTTAAGTACCGGAACTCTGCAGGCATCGGTGCCCTCGCCCGCCCGGTCTCACGGACCCGGCCTGCATCCAGATCTGTGTTAGCACTCTCACTTTTCTCCCGACTGGTGTTCTCTGTCTTCCAATTAAGCTTTTCCTACTGGCATGTCTCAGCTCTGTGACGATGTTAAAATGATTAAAGTTTACAAACAGTGTGGTTCCTCTCTATGATCCATGGGTGAAAATCTGAGCTTCTAGTGTGCCAGCCCCATCTGATCTTACAGCTCCTCCTTACATCCCTGCCCTCGGCGCCCTGCAGGTGCACGCGTGTGGTGGAAGGGCATGTGCATGTGCATGTGCATGTGCATGTGCGAAGGTGCTCAGCCAAGGTCAGTGCCTGAAGTGCGCGAAGTGCCCCAGAGCACTGTGCCTGTCCCTCCTCGATCCCCTCTGACAGACACCTGCTTGGCTCTTGATGTTCCGCAGAAGCATTTTTATAAAACCTGGGGAGAGCTCCTCTGCCTGACGGGTAGAATTGACCATTCTCTCTTTAACTTGGCTCCCCTCTTACGATGCCATGTAATTCTCTTCTGTGTCATTGGCCCGTAACACTTGTATGCATATTTATGTCCTTTCTTCTGAGTTTTCTCAAGAATGGACATTTAGAGCTTAGCAGAGTGCTTGACACACAACACACAGACCACAAATGCAGAAATGAAAAGAGCTCTCTTCTTTGATTCATTTGCCCGTTACTTACGGAGCCACTGCCTACCTGGCCTGGCTATAAGTTGTGTTGCAGAAAAGGGAAAGTCCTGTTGAAGATTCTTTATTATAAAAGTTGTTTTCTTTATTTTCCTTGATTGTACTGATTTTAGTAGCAATTTTTGAGATATTCACATACTATTCACACATTGAAAGTACACAATTCAGTACTTTTTAGTATATTTGTAATACACTAAATCAAGCCCACAATCAATTCTAGAACTTTGTTTTTATCGCCTCAGGAAGAAACCCTGTAGGTTTTATCTGTGAGCACTCATCCCCACCTAGGTAGTAGAAATCACTGCTCCATTTCCTGTCCATAAACGTGCCTCTTCTGGACATTTCATGTGTGTGTGTGTCTGTCTGCCGTGACTTCCTTTCTGACCACATCTGCCTGTCAAGCAGCACTAATGGCCAGCTTGTTTTCTCTTGAACCCAAAGCCTTGGCACTGAGCTACAGCCCATCCTTTTTTTATGCATAATTTGAGACAAGTCTCACTGCATTCTCCAGGCTGGGCTCCATCTGAGGGTCCTCCCGCCTCAGCCACACTTGGTTTTAGCCACACTGTGACCCACATTGCTTCACAGACTAATCCACTCTGGTTCACTGCAGGGCTCCTCCCTTTGGGTGGCACTGAGATTGGTTCTGATGCTCAGAGTGCTCTGGGAAAGTAGCCAGTCTGCACTCCACTCTGCAGCACCAGGGACCTAGCAGTTGCCAGTTGCCTTCACCTACAGGGTTTCCGAGGCTGCCCTTCGCCTCAGGCTTCTCCCTGCACACCACTTGTGAAGTCAGTTCCTTGCAGATGGTGCCTGGACTCCTGCTCTGTGGCCTGTGTCTCCTTGGGCAGAGGCCTGGGCCAGGGCAGTGCGGATAGGGATGTGGGGAGTGGCCCAGCCAGCCCTGCTCTGCAGCCTGGGGCTCCTCTGCTGGTCTCTGCGACCTGCCTCTCCCCTGAACTGGCTGGGCCGGCGCCCCTGCCCACAAGCTGAGCAGTCTGTGGGGTCCCTGCCCTAGGGAGAAGCCCGGCCCAGGTGGGGGTCAGGAGGAGGGGGCAGCCCATCACTGAGACACAGCCCAGCCACATTGGCCTGCAGGATGCTCAGGGCTGGGCCTGGCCTACTGTCCCGGGCAGGGAGCAGGAGCGGAGCCCACACTGCTGGTTGGACAAGAGCGGCGCTTGCATCTCCTGAGTTGTGAGAGGTAGCATGGTGTGGGTTTTGCTGCACGTACCAAGGTCTGTGCTGGTCTTTTTTTAAAAATAGGTTTTATTGAATAAATTTTCCTTCATTTTCTGAGTGCTCGGAGGGCCATTTCAAGAATCTTTGCTATCTTGTAACCTTTACCGGTTTGGTTTGGGGCAGCTCTGCCGAGTCCCTGGGGCTGCTGTCTGAAGTTTTTACAAGTATTTTGAAAACCCTGCCATCCTCAGGCCAGAGGGATGTGGAAAGGGATTGAGTGTTTGCCCACACTGGGTCCAGGTGAGGAGACAGCCTCTGGGGCCTGTGCCCACTGGCCAGGTGCCAGGGAGGTGATGCTGCTGTGCGCCTCACATGCTCTGCTTTGCCAGCATCCTTCCTTTACAGGCAGAGCTGGGGTGCGGTGGGGCCCAGACCACAGCTGGGCTCAGACTCATGCCCTGGGCCTCACTCCTGCCTGTGCAGAGATGAGCAGCCCCAGAGAGCAGCAGAAATGCTCAGAAGCTCTCTGGCTGGTTCCTGCCAAGGACAGATAACTTTACGTGAAGTCTTTTCCTGGGCCTGACAGACATTTAAACTGTAGCCTGGCAGAGGAGGTGAGCCAATCCCAGTGCCCAGGAGGAGGCTCCCGGGTCACCATTCCACCGCTCCCAGGGCAGAGGAGGTAAGCCACGGGGGCGCCAGCAGCAGCACCCCCCCGCCACGTGGAAATGAGAAGACATGTAAACAAGCCTCAAAAACAGACTTTCAGATCACCTACAGCAACCCCAAAGGGAAATGAGATGGAACAATCTGATACTCAATCACCTGAACTCCCTGAACAGGCAACAAAAGAAGATCTGGAAAAAATGAAATCAGAAATAATTTCTCAGATAACAGGAGAAATTGTGCCCATAGTGCAAGACATGATTAATCTAGAGACGACACAGATAAAAAAAAAAATAGAGCTGAGGAACATGATGGAATCCCAACATAGAAAACAAATGGAATCCATAAAACAGATACAAACAGATTTCCAGGAGATTAAAAACTCCATTGACAGTCTACACAGCAGAATGAAACAATGTGAGGACAAAATTTCAGTTATAGAAGATAAGATTGCAATTAGTGACCAGGAAAAGAAAAATTGCTTTAAAATTGTAAGAGAAATCAATCCAGCAGCTGCTAGATGATGCAAAGAAGAATAACATAAGACTGATCGGAGTCAATGAAGAAACAGGAGAGAGTGCAGATGACATAAAAAAACTGTTCACAGAAGTGATGGCAGAAAACTTCCCAAGCAAGGGAAAAGAACTTGACATACAGATAAGTGAGGCATATAGGACTCCAGCTAGCCTTGATCAAAAAAAATCTACACATAGGCATATAATTGTTAGGATTCCAGAAACCCAACAGAAGAACAAAATTCTACAGGCAGTGAGAGAAAAGAAACAAATCACATACAAAGGAAAGCCCATCAGAATCACGGCAGATTTCTTAATGCAAACCCTCAAAGCAAGAAGAGCTTGGAGTGACATATTTCAAGCCCTAAAGGAAAACAGCCTCCAACCCAGATTGATGTACCCTGTAAAACTATCTTTCCAAATTGATGGAGAAATAAGATACTTTCATGACAAGGAACACCTTAGGAACTTCATGAATACCAAACCAGCACTCCAAAAAATTGTAGACAACATCCTAGGAAAAGACAATGGGATCACAACCCCAGGAAGCCCAGCAGAATGAATCCATTGGGCGTGACAAATTAAATGCAAACGGGGAGAATCCAACAAACAGAAAAAGTCATGACAAGGCTTTTAAAACTTTTAACTTCATCTCCCTAATGAGTGTATAATTCAATCTTGTTATTGTACTGAGTAGTATTTTTGTGATTCTAGTGTTGCACACCTTTTCTTGTGCTGTACTGGCTATTTGTCATCTTGTGTCTGCTTTTTAATTGGGTTGTCTGTTAATGAGCTGTAAGAGTTCTTTATGTATTCTGGTCATAGGTTATATGCATTGTAAATATGGTCTGTTTAAGGACTGCTTTTCATTTTAATGATGTCATTTAAAGTTCTAAATTCTGATGGCATCTCATTTATCAATTTTTTTCTTTTGTACATCACATCTTTTGTATCCTAGGAAGTTCTTACCTACCCTAAATTCATAAACATTTTCCCTTATAATTTCTTGTTAAAGTTTCATAGTTTTAGTCTTTCATATTTAGGTTCATAGATCTTTTCAAGTTATTTTTATGTATGGAAATAAAGGGTTGAGGTTCATTTTTTATATACAGATACCAGGTGTTTTGTGCCATTTGCTGAAAACACTATCTTTTCCTCTGCTCTTGAATTGAGTTTTTGTTCTATAAAATGTTAATGTTAAATAATCTTTCAAACCTCAGTGGACCATATATGTGTGGTTCTGTTTCTAGATTCTCTGTTTTATTCCAATGGTCTATATGTCTTTCCTTATACCAACACTGCCTTGATTACTGTAGCTTTAGGGGAAGTCTTAAAATTAAGTACTAAACGTCTTACAACACTTCTTTTTTCATTTTCTTTTTACTTTTCTAGGTCCTTCGTACTCCTACATAACTTTTAAATTTCAATTATAGCAAGTATACACAGACCT